TTTTTTTTTTGTGCGTCAGCAAGTGTGAAGGCCAGTATACGGGGAAATTTTTGTCTTGCATAGTGATGCTGTGGTTAGATCGAGCCTGTAGGCTATTACTCATGCATGCGTGCAAGAACCGCTGGGATATTAAAATATGCACTTATTGTAACCGTGCATCATTTGCTGGTGTTTGTTGCTGTTATGAGGTGTCTTTATGGGTTTCCCTCACTCTTTGGTGCATGCCAGCGATTTTTGTTTTCGTTATGGAATCCGAGACGCATCTGTAGTCTCCTCCTTCTGTTCTTCCTCTGTCTCAGTGTTATTTGGAGAAGGTCCGAAAGGCGAAAGCAAAAAGTCAGTTCAAGAAAGGAGAAAGTAATGGCAAAAAAGTTTGTTTTGTTTATTCTTGCAATTCTATGCGGTGCATCTGTCGTGATGGCTGCACCGGCAAAGACGCCAGTCACTGTTTTCATGGGCGCTGGCAGTGGAAATGTATCAGGCCTAGATGAACTGGTCTTCATTCACACCGTCATGCGTGGCGCTCGGTCTGTCAGCATCCCATTCTGCCAAACTGTCTACTTTGGTCATGTTCTGGGGAGGGATGGCAAGGAATTCGCAGCACTGGCCGTCACCACTGGCGTCGGCTACGTGAGCACAACGTCCTGCACGGTGCAGCTCATGCGCCACTCGCCATATGCGCCCACGTCCATCGTGTTTATCGGCACCTCGGGATTCTCACCATACAAGGGTGGTTTCGATCCACTCGACAAGGAGTCTGGATGCCGCTCGGTTGGTGCGTCAATCACGAAGAATGCCATTGGAAGTGTGTGTGTGACTTCTGGAGCTTTTCTTATGGAGTCAGGCAGCTGCATAGAAAGACTGGAAGACAATCAGTGTTCGCGACCCAACTGCTCTGTGTTTAGTAAAGCCATTGCTCTTAATTATATTATTGCAGATGCATCCTTGGCTGAAGCGATTCGCGCTGCCAACACGGGCGTGGAATTCCCTCCAATGCCCAAAGATGTTACGAAGGGCATGCAAAACTGGTGGGCTGCCAATGAGGCGGCTGAGGAAACAAATGCACCAAATGAGCCACATCTTGTGCACTGTGCGGAAGCGACTGTTAACGCCATTAATGTCGGCGCAGAACGCGACTACCTCTGTCGTGAATACACGAGTCAGTTCATGAAGTTGCCTATGAGTGAGGCAGTCTGTGTACAGTCAATGGAAGCCATGGGTTTCCTAACAGCAATGTTGAATTTTCCGCATGTTTCAGTGGCCATTGTGCGAACAGCATCAAATTATGACATGTATCCTCTAAAGCGCGTTGTGGACGGAAGGTGGGAACAGAAAGTTAACTACGTGCCGGAGGATGAGTACGCCGCGTTTGTCAACGCCTCGTTTCACTACTCCGTCAAGACGGCCACTTTTGTTGTTGCCAACTATTTCCTCAGTGAGACGGTTGGCCTTCATCTTTAACCGCGCTTTGCGGCTCAATCTCTATTGTGGCTTCCGTGGAAGTAACGGAGTACCAAAGGAAACTGGATGGTGCTGAGCTCAAGGGAACATTAATAGTTGGCCGCTCGTTTCCTTTTACCCTAACCCAATTCATTGAAGTGTTGGATTCAGCAAGGCATCGGGTTTGTTGGCCTCTGAGCGTTGTTTCCCTGCCCCTTCCTCAACTACATTGTTGCTAAGATGCATCGTTACTCTTCTTGGTATGAAGAAAGCAAAAAAAAAAAACAAGAAAAAAAACGGGGAGCAGTTGACGAGAAGGAAGCCCTCATTCTCAGAATGACGAGCGCGTACTTACCCCGCTTGGTGTTGGCCGCTGCAATCGTTGTAGTGCATGCGTCAGCCCTTGGTACCTACCCTGGTGTATCTATGCCTGACACAGCTGAGCTCGTAGAATCCGCCCTGGCGCCGTTTATGGCGTTTGATGGAGGGAAACTGTACACGTCTCATCGCCGCCAAGACCATTCAGCTGTCTGCGGGGCCGTATCTGCAACAGATTCACGGTTGATGTTTCCAGTCACACTTAACGATCTCGACAGGCTCCACGGAAGGTTGTTCGTCCAGGATTCTGAGCAGAACACCACTGAGCGTCAGTCCGAATTGGATATGGTGGAAGGATGCTACGTCCGTTCCGATGGAGACAACATGCCGTGTGTGGTGTCATTAGAGTCTGATCCAGTCGATTGCGGAATGAATATCAAGGATTCCACCGCCTATTGGGCATACCGCAGAAGTGCACCAGTGTCTTCAGCCTCCGCTGAGGCGCTTGACGGTGGTGCTGACTCGCTTGTGGAAAATATCCTTCGGGTTAGTGAACAGCGTGAGAGGCTGCGTCGGTCAATCAAGCGAACACAAGATTCTGCTGCTGCTGGAAAGATGCTGTGGAGTATTGTTTCGCGTGGCTGGGCTAAAAATGCCTTGGCGCAAGATCAGCAGGCCTTTGCAGAGGCCATGAGCGCAAGGGGTGCAGCAATTTTAAGGGGATCGTACGCGGACGTCATGGAGAAATGGGATATTGTGAAGCAGTGGATGAAAGTATCGGTGGGTGAAACCGACGTGGACGCGCCTGTGTTCACCACCAAGGACGGATCACTTCTCAATCCAGATGTGTACTGCAATCCCACTATATACTTAGACGATTGGCTGGCATTTTTCGACCAAGAAAACTACGGATATATCATTGCTTCCGGCGTTGATCAGGAGGTTCAGGCATTTTTGACAGGGTATAAGATCTTCGAAAATAAGACACGCTGGAACGTCAGTCGTATTGGTCGTCTGCCGTGTGTGGCGGTGTCGTACTTGGTGGCAATGATGCTGCTCGAGGACTTTCCAGTCCGACTTGCGTACTGGGACATGGTGAACGAAACGGGAGCCAAGGACGCCATATGGCCGCTGCGACGCTTTGAAATGCTGGGTGACGCCAATGGGACGCTTGTACAGAACCGTAAAAACCTTGCCCAATACTTCGATATGATGTTGAGCTTTATCACCAAGGTGGACTTTGTAAATGAAGTTTTCAACGGGAGCAGTGCGATGGCTGCCTGTGTGGCGCAGGCTATCCTGCGCGCTCCTGGCACAGATGGCGCACCACCCCCGAGCTCTATTTATCAATGCATTTCAGCCTTGCGTGGGTCTACGGGAAATGGCACTCGTGTCAGCGGTGTTCCAAAAACCAACAGTGATGTGCTTGGTCTTGAAAAGGACGATGACTTGACGAAGATTTCCTGTCCGTGGGGATACGTTCGCCCAAGTGGGAACTCGTGGAACACTCTGGAAGACTGTGTTATGTGTCCCCCTGGCTCGTTTGACGATGGGGATGGCGGCTGCCGCTGCAGTTCCAGATCCTTCCCCGGCATCAATGGCTGCTTGGCGAAGGAAGGCGGCATGGCACCTTCACCCTCTTGGGAGTGGCTAGTGGATCCGTCAGAGGTTCTTTTTGCCAGCGGTGACGCAAAGCCGTTTCTCGTCGTATCGCAAGGGACTGGTGCAAGCGAAGGGGACAAAGTGGTAGTCAAGATTCGCTGCACGGAGGGTTTGACGCGCTTTGAAGTATCGATGCCGCTAACAGGCAGCAGCATGCCCAAGTCGGAGCGATTTGACATTCCTCTGCAGCGTGTTGTCACTATAATGTCATTGACAAACATCTCAGTAAGTCTCAGATCATCAGCAGCATTCGGTGGCGAGCAGTGTGAGTTCACCGTAGTGACAAATAATCCAAAGTACCAAGTCTTGCAGGCGGTTCGCGCAGGCACAGTTGTTATCATGCCCTCTGTGGCGAACCTTCCTGTCGTTGGTCACAGTCATGTTGAATCCTCAGCGTCATCGATGTCCGAGGCTGGTCTCCCGTTGTGTAACAGCGTTCCAAGGGCCGAGCCCGGAGTCGTCATGGTGGCTGTTTGTGTCACGACTAAAGAAGAGTTGTTTCTCCTCGTGGACGCCAAGGGGTATGCGCCACTCACTACAGAAATGTTCCGCATTTTCAAGCAGGCTCTTTGGATGGATGGGACACGAGCCACGGCCCTTGGCAAGGCGCTGCAGCTTCTGGGGGAGCGAACTCATCTTGCTGTTCGGGTGATGGTGAAGCGAGGGAGTACGATGCAGTCTGCATTGAAGTTCTTTGACGGTTCGTTTTCCCTCGCAAAAGATGTCTATAAGCTCTTCTTGGTCCCCGGCAGTCTCTCGCAATTGACTGTGGGACTCCAAGTTGTTGACCGTTGTGCTACCGCTGATTGGACGCATGAAATCGACTGCGCGAAGGCGAAGCTTTTCTTTGCACCAGGTCCGGTATCGACGCGGGTGTTCAAGCTGGCGGGTGGAAATGACACGGAGGATCCGGTGGACTCCAGTGATAATCATTCACCCGTGCCCGCTTCAGAATGGTGGCGGGGTCTGCTTATTGCGCTGGGCGTCGTTGACGGAGTGCTTGTCACAACAGTAGGAGTGCTGCTGGCCACCTATTTGCGGCGTACTCTGAAGTTGTCGGAGTGCAGTGCGCGGAGAAGTCTTGCACGTCCCAACGCCGCAGCACTTTCGTCGCCGGCCGTGATTTCCGGCGAAAGTTCTGCACCTTTCTGAAATCTCTCTCCCCCTCCCCTACTCTCTCATTCGTTTTGTTTTCTTAGCTCCGCCTCGAGCCGCTTCTATTGGTTAGGGTGGGTTTGGTTTGCTTCGTTGGTTTCTTTCTTGCGCGCTGCATTGGCCCACGCGGGACCTCGTTGTACCTTTGGAGGTAAAAATGCGTATTGTTGCTTTATTTTTCGCACACACTTTATTGTTTTTTTTTTAATTATTTGTGATGTACCAAGACTGTGATGCCAAATGCCGGCAGCATCCACGCCACGCCTTGTGCTTCTGTGTGTATGTGTGTGTGTCTGATTTTTTTTGTGGGGGAGAGGGGTGAGAAAACTTGCGACGGGAATGTTCTGGCCTTCCTATTTCGTCGTGTGAAAGCGGCTGTCACTTTCTTTTTCTGTCATCTTCACAGAGCTGACGTGAAGTGCGTGGTTTGAAGGTCCGCCCTGCCCTGTCCTCTCTGCCTCGCGCGGGAGGTGGGCTGAAGGTGCCTTCAGCGCTTCCCTTTCGTCAGCACCTCTTTGTGTTTGTTGGAGGCGAGACGTCTTGTGCGACTCTCCGTTTGGGTGGATGAACTAAGTGCGGAGTCTGTGGGGGGATGATGGGGAAAATTGGATTAAACCGCAATGGGTTTTCCCGTATATTTCTTTTCTGTTTTTTCTGTTTTTAAAGGGAAGGGTAATACGTAGACTGTTCCTTTTGTACTTGCGTCATTGGTTGGGGATGGCTATCTTTTCTTGTTTCGGTTCATGTTTTTTTTTGTTTTATTATTATTATTATTATTATTCCAAGTGACTTTTAATCTGGGGATGACTCTCGTCGTGAGTGGGATCGTTTTAATGTGTCCTCTATCCTTCTGCTCCCTGCCGTTGTCTGTGCTCACTGCCTGTTTCCGTTGTTTTGCCTTGTGGATCACAGTGCAGATGAACAAGAAGACGATATTGCCGCCAGCAGTCGCTCTGCTTGCCCTCTCCGTGCTCCTGTTGCAGGAGTATTGGCCGCGCCCGGGGGTTGATTCCGTGGGTGGGGCAAGCACGGCAGACGCCCCCCAGCAGGTGCACATGTTTGTCTGCGCAGACAACGGGACTTACTCTGGGCAACACGAACTATACTACATTCGCAACGCTATGGTAGACGTTTATGCCGTTGCCATTGACGACTGTCAAAGCGGTTACTTTGGGTATCTTGTGAAGAGCAGTGGCGAGCGAATTCCGTCTTTGGTAGTGACCACCGGTATATACGCTGTGAGTGCCGCTGCATGCGCCGTGAGCTTCATGCAGGACACGCGTTACGTGCCTGTGTCGATCGTTTATCTTGGCACCGCAGGGATATCGCCAACTGTCGGTGGGTGGAACCCCCGCGCAAGGGGTGGATGCGGCGTGCTTCAATCACCACAGAAGAATTTCCTTGGGAGCGTCTGTGTCACCGACGGTGCACTCCTGCAGGAGTGTGGCATCTGTGTGGAAGGGAAAATCACAACGGAGTGCTCCCGCCCAAATTGTATAATGCACAACTCCTCCTCCCACTTTGGGAAGTGCGCCTACCGTCATCCAACAACGCTGGCGACGGCGATGCGGAAGGCGATGGACGGCAAGAAATTCCCGGATCCACCGGAGATGGTGCAGCAGGGCGTGACTTCCTTCTGGGATTCCCACCAGGCAGTGGAAGACCCCACACCGCCAACGCAACCGCGTCTGTTAGACTGTGTAGAGACGAGCACAAGTCANGATTCCCACCAGGCAGTGGAAGACCCCACACCGCCAACGCAACCGCGTCTGTTAGACTGTGTAGAGACGAGCACAAGTCAGATTCTCGCTGGTGGTCGCAGCGACTTGCTTTGCCGGGAGTACAGCCACGCGCTGCTCCCCGAGATTCCTTTTGAAGAGCACACGTGCGTGCAGGCAATGGAGGGTTTCGGATTTCTACACGTGATGTCCCGCTTTCCAGCTGTGCCTATCGCGATTGTGCGCGCTGGGTCCAACTACGACATGTACCCCATGTCAGTCGCTGGTGTGGCGGCGGACGGAACCCCATTATGGGAGCAGAACGAGTCATTCATGCCAGAATCGGACTACGATCTTTACACACGGGCGTCGTACCGGTACGCGGTCCTGACATCGAGCACAGTGGTGCTGAACTACTACACAGGCAAGCCAATAGTTGGCGTGGATTAAAAGACAACAAAAAACAAATGACAGTACCATCAATTAGTCTATGTTTTATTAGCGAATGTGTTCGTAGGAGGGTGTGAGCTGCTGTGGAACAAAGCGATGCGACAGTCAGTCCCTCTACTTATTTCTCTTCTTCTGTTGCTATCACAACTGTGAGATGGAGTGATGGAGTGTCTCAGCCAAGCCACACGGCTTGTGGCTTTCAGTGGGTGAGTGCCCCGCAAGTATTTTGTGTGAAGCTCCCTCAGGAGACGTATTCCGTTTTTTTTTCCGTCGATTTGTTTTCTTGCGGCTCTGTGGACTTTACGCATCCTCCTTTTTTTGTGTGGTGATGTTTATCTCCTTTTATTATTATTATTCTATCCCATATAACCCTGGTCTGATAGGGATGGCTATTCGTCTTGTGCTTCAGTCCATTGCAAAGGGCTCCATCCTTGTTGACAACGCCGAGCGTTACGTCAGTGTCGCACGCGGTGTGGTCATTTATGTCGCCTTTCTCCGCGAGGTGGATGAGGCCGCGCTGCANCCGGCCATCACGTCCATTTTGGGGGCGAAACTCTTCCAGAACGCCTCACCTGGGAGCGTGCCGCCTTTTCCTATTGTGTCACTAAGCGAGTGCCAGGAGGCTGATATTCTTGTCGTGCCGCAGGCTTCACTTGGTGGGAAGCTCAAGGGGCGAAGCATTCAGTTCCACGCGTTGGTGAATAAGTCACAAGGAGAACTGCTCTACAACCGCTTCTGTGAACTCCTTCGTGAAGCGCGAGGTATCGACATGACTACTGTTGATGCAAACGGGGCGCCGTTAGATGAGACGGTGCACCTTGACGAGTTGTGCAGTGCGGGTCGCGTCGTCAGCGGCACGTATGGCAATCGGCAGGGCCTGAAGATCGAGTCGGAAGGACCTCTCACGCACACTTTGGACCTCTGAGTAAGTGCGGGTGGAGAGGGGAGGGCGTTTGGTGTCAACGCCGTCATACACTCATCCAGCCTGGTGTAGAGGGAATTTTCATTTTTTTTTTTTCGTCTTATTTTGCAGTTGTGTATTAGCCCTCTCTAGTGTGTCTATGTGTATTGCTACTGCTCGCATTTTCCTCCTTTTCCATCTCCTCCATTTCTGCCTCTGAGTGAACGCGTGGTGGGTGACATGCGCCGCAGCCGCGTCTTAGATTGCCATGCGTCGCCGGCGCAGCTTGTGGCTGGCACCGTAGTCACCAGTACGACGCCACGATGGACGCCGCAGCAGCAGTGCTACCGGCAGCTCATGAAGAGCCTCCGAGCCGCGCACTTTAACGATCGGTCAAAACTCTTCTGGTCACGGCACCGCGTTCTTGTGGAGTTCTACAAGTACTCGGGAGAAACAAGCGAGGAGACGGTGCGGCTGCTGGTTGGCATCGGCCTCGAAGTTGCAGCATTCATTGCACAGCACATGCGTACCGATGTGGAGCGCATTATCAAACACAACGAAGCGATGTTGGCGCTCCCAGTGGACAAAGCGAAGAAGTTCCGCAGCGACTACTTGCTCGCAGAGAAACAGCACGACTCATGGTGTAAGCAGAAGATCAAAAACATCTTGAAGCGCCGCCCACCTCCTCCGTACCCATTCTTCTAAGAAGCAAAGGGTACAAAGGCTACTGTATTGCCTACCAATGCAACTAGTACTGCTAGTCTCGCTATAATTTTTTATTGGTGCTTTCTTTCATATTTTCCACTCCATCTGATACTCGTATTTCTAAATTAAACGTAGTAAGCAAGAAGAGTTTAGAATTCTAGCTGGAAAAATCGTATCAGCCTGATTGCAATGAATCAATCACCCGTTGTAGCGAAATGTAACGATGGGTCTTCAATTACTGTGTATCCCCAGGGTGCGCACCTTACCAGTTGGCGCAACAGGGACGGAGAGGAGTTGCTCTACACCAGTCCCTCCGCGGTGTACAAGGATGGGGTTGCCATCCGTGGCGGAGTCCCCATCATATTTCCTCAATTTGGAAATTTGGGACCACTGCCTGCACATGGATTTGCACGCGTGCGCCAATGGACATTGAAGCACGCGGGGAATGGAACGGCCTCATTCACTCTTGACGTAAAGACGTCTGAGCTGCAATCAGATGGGTCCCCATTCAAGGCAGAGTCAAAGATGCCCGCATCGGCCTCATCAAGTACCGTCGCGCTCTTGTACACCATTACATTCAGCAACGATCGGTTGCAGTTACAGATGGAGATCACCAACAAAGACCCATCTGAGTCTACCGACTTCACCTTTGCTTTTCACACGTATTTTGCAATATCAGACGTTCAAAACGCACTGGTGAACGGTGTAAATATGACCTCGTATGTTGATAACCTGGCTGGGAACAGAACGATTCTTCCACCACAACAGTTGTGGAACTTTGCGAAGGAGACAGACCGTGTCTATGTCAACCAAAGCTGTGCCGTCTTGCTGCTTGATATGGCAAAGAAAAGGACAACGCACATCTCTGGGGAGAACCTGCCGGATGTCGTTGTATGGAATCCATGGGTGGAGAAGTCGGCGCGTCTGAAGGATCTTCCGCCGGATGGATACAAACACTTCGCCTGTGTGGAGCATGGTGCTATTATAAAGAAGGTTGTCCTGCCTCCGCATGGGGTGTGGAAGGCTGTTCAGCATATTGTGCAGCTCCCGTGCTCCAAGCTTTAATGTCGTTCTTTCCTCTTTCTTTTTTTTTTTTCTTTTTTTTGTTGGGTGTTCCTTTTTTTTTTGCTTATTGTGTGTTGTGATTTTCAGATGTATGTGATCACGCCGGCACTATAGGAAACGTTCGAGAGACTTGGTGGACCGCAGCGGGAGGATGGGACGCAATGGGCATTGAAAACTAGTGGTTCGTATTCATGGGAAATAAGCAACCTTTTTTCCCTGCCTTTTTTGTTATTTTTCATACTTACATTTGTGCACGGACGTGATGTGTGGTGTGAAAGACGAAGCCAACACAAATGCACGGTAAGCCATATAAAGACTATTTCTGAGAAATTGAGTGCTGATTCGCTCTTCCTGACTCTCCATCTCTTCTTCCATTCTCTCTTTGCGGGACCTTGTCTGTTTTCAGCCTGCGTGTCCCTGTGAGTCTGTTTCTGTGGAGAACAAAAAGGGCAAACACCGTGAGCAACAGAGTCAGGTGAGAGAGAGTCTGTGTGTGACAGTGGAGGCCGGAAATGGCGGACGCAGCAGCCGCAGGAGCACCGCCCCCGGACGCGTACTTTCGCAGCTTGCTTGTCGCGAGTCTCATCGACCGCGCGCTTGCGGAAGTGCGGTATCAGAAACCACGCGCCCCTATGAAGGTGATGGCTGTGCTTCAACAAAGCCTTACAAGCCACGCAGAGGACTACTACGTCGAGGTGGTTAACAATTTCGAAAATTACGTGTCGTGTCTAAGTGAACACGGTTTCCAAGCAGCAGGTAAGCAGACTGTTTATTTTGCCTGTCCACAGCGCGACGGTCTGGTGCTAGAACTATTCCCTAACGGTGCATCTGTAGAGATCACTGAGGAGAGTTGCACTTGCTTTTTAAAGCTTCTTTCAAATCTACGCCGGAATGTACCTACACAGCTGCGTGAATTGCCCGTCAGACCCACACTGCATATCAATGGGAATTACTACCCACTCACATGCCTAATTATTGATTACCTGACCAACGAAGACTCGGATTGGTGTATAGATAATGAAGAGGACTGGGATGCCCTTCAGGTGACGTACTGTGTGCCATTCAATGGTCAGCTGCACGATGTGTGTCCTGGAACGCGCAATGTCCCGGTTCCCTTCTCTAATGCCAGACGGTTTGGAATAGATGCGAAGCGGTTACTGCTGCAACTCATGGAAGCCAGTAGCAACACCGCTCCGTTGGACCCTTCGTCACTAGTGGAGCGTCAGCAACGGATGTCATTGATGTCACGTGGTTACATGGACTTCCTGCGTGTTCTAGAGAAAGCAAACACACCGTTTGGAAATCCAATGAGTAAGGAGGAGTTTGACAGTCTTGGTATCACATATAGTGTACCGTTCGGCAATACGATTCTCCCGCTCATACCAGGCAAGGAAAATGAACGCGTGGAGTATAAAGACAAGAATCGTTTTGTGACTTTGGCGAGAGCCAAATTGCTGGAGTGTATGGCACTGAAGAAACCCCCTTGTGGTGAATCTCCAGGGCTGCAAAGCCTCGCGAGGGGGATGAACCCCATGGAGCGGGGGTTCTGGAGCACGATTGAAGAGATTAGAATGGATCCGACCAAATGGTCAGGTATCTCATTTACCATAAGGGTAATGAATCGCGATATTTTGCTGAAAGAGAACGGAGCCAACATCACTGTCACCAAGGATAATGTGGAGGAATACGTCAGCCTCATGTACGGGAAAAAGGATGTCATTCACGCCGCCTTCGTTGAAAGTGAACTCCAAAACACCGAACGTGTTGTGGCGCCACCGCAAGCACCAGCACACTCCGCTGTACGGAAATCAGTAACGCTTGAAATGTACCCGCCGCAGAACGCTCCACAGTGGAACACATTTGCATTAGAGGCGTGTGATGTGGACAGCGGGGTTTTCCGCATTCTGCAAGATATTGGGCGCAAGGAGAGAATGGCGCCAAAGGACTACGGTGTGCCGTTCTTCTCCTTCGCCATCCCTATTCACGGTAAAGGACTCTACAAGCTGATTCCCCACGGTGATACCATTCCTGTCACGATGTCAAACAGCGAGGAGTTCTTGGAGCGCCTGGAATATGAGAGAAAGCGGCTGAAGGCCATGGATACCTCTGCGCGGCAGTACGTTACACGCGCGATGTCGCCAAGCATGGCTGTGACGCTGATGGCGAGCGCTCTACCTGGTGATTGGGTCCCGCAACGCTACTCCTCCCCGCCAATAGTGGAGGAATCTGAAGGGTCTCAGCAGAGGCAGCGTGGCGCGCGGCATCGGGCTTCACAGGAAACCATGAACGCAGCGGCGAAGTCTACACTCGATGAAATTGATATGTACGAAAAGAATCTTATGGCATTAAAAAGGGATAAGAACCGAATTTCTTTGGAAGCCTTCGAGGCTTTTGCACTTAGGTATGCGTTGACAATTGGTGGGGAGGAAGTTGAACTGCTGGATGGGGGTCGACACCGCTTGGTGGCAGTGCAAGAAATAGATTACTACGTGAATATGGCTCTGGCAAAACTTTATGAGGTACGGCGTTGCATCCTGACACAGAATCTGGGGGATGGTCTTAGCAACAACTTAAAAGAACAGAAGCACCAGCAACAGGGAAGGGGCATCCCAAAGGTCACAGCAGATCCGATGGCGTTGTTCTCGTCACAGCATTTTGAGCCGGAATTATTCGCTCCCGCGCAAGATATGACCGTTTTTCGCCCGTGAATTGGGCCAAATTTTTTTTGTCGTCTGATTGTTTCTGCTTTCTTCTCAAGAATGAAAAGAGGGGTGGTTCGGCGGATTGCTAGAAATCTTCTTCATTTTTCACCTTACCCAAAGCTACAGAGTAGACTTATGGATTGTTTCATTTCTTTTTTTTTATATTTTCAGACCCCAATCGCGCGCTGTTCTGTTCTCTGTTTTATTTTTATTGTATTTTATTCCTTTCTCTCAATGTGATGTGCGCGGAGTAGGAAGAGTTTTCCTTGGCTCCCACTATGGTTTGGTATAACTTCACTTCATGAGCGAACAGAGGCCTGAGTGTAATTGAATACAAATTATATATATATATATATATATTTATTTATTTATTTATTTACTTCTATAGAAATCGGAAGGAAGTCATGTAAAAAGGGGGTGGGAGGCATCACTGTGACTATTATACACCCATTATGCTGCTTCAGTGTGTTTTTTATTTCTGTGTATGTTTCCAACGCCACCCCTCTTTTTCTTGTCATTCTTTTTCCATTATGCACTGCCACCATTACTCTCATCGTCTTTTTTATTTCTCCCTCTGTGTGTTTGCGGGTGCGTCTCTGCTGTGGGTACGGCACGCGAGGACACCGAGGTACACGTACAATCACGAGCAGGCATCCCTTCCCAATTTGACTATTCCTTCTGAATTCGCTCTACCTCCAGAGAGGTCGATATATATATCAATATATATAAAGTGTCAGAGAGAGAGAGAGAGAGAGAGAGATGAGGGAAAATGTGTGTGATGCCACTGGTAGTGATCGGTTGCAATTCCTTTCTGGCTGCTGTGGATGATGGCCTTGGTCCACCTCTGATTTCCTCGCTGCTGTTATTGTTGTTTTGTTTCCCTCTCACTCCTATGCTCCCTCTTTTTTTTGTACTGTTACGTTACACTTGGCTCAAGGAATGAGTGGTGATTCTAGCATAAAGGATACGTGGGCGATGGCAAAGCGGCTGGTTGGGCCCTCGCTTCTTACTCTGGGTTTCGGTTCCCTCTGCGTAATGGGCGTGTCGGGTGTGACAACTGCCATCAGCACCGCCTTCTTTATTTACGTCACAGGCATCGTGCCGGAAAACGAGTACTTTCCATCCATATGGTTCAGAAACAACATATTTGGTGGGCTTTACAGTATTTACTGCTCCAACGAATTTGGTTACACATATCTGCGCACAACCCTACACAAACGCCAACGGATCCCTCACTCTGATTATCGTCACGGCGTCCGATGTATCAGCGGGGGTCACGTGACGTCGTCGCCCTTCCCCGATGAGCTGCAGACAAATTCGGAGTTTTACGAACGTGGGGGTGGTATAGTGAGTCTAAAAGGCCTCGGGGAGGAACATCAAGAATGTTTTGGCGGGGTTGTTATTGTTCCTGTCCCCATTCTGGCAGACAATTATGCCTACTTTATTCTGAGTTTCTCGAGGAAGCGTTGCGCTGTGGTAGACCCTGCGGACCCTGAACTTGTGCTGTACATGTTGACTGTCGTTCGGCACTTAACGAAGGTGAACTTTGTGCTTACAGACATCCTTACCACACACAAACACTGGGACCATGCTGGGGGCAATTTGGAGCTGCTCAACTATGCGCGAGGTGGTGACTCAAGGTATACTGAGCTTCTCGATGCAAACTTGAAGGTGTATGGCTCCGCTTCTGACAAACCGCATGCCTGTACTAATCTTGTAGAAGAAGGGGATGTGCTAACTATCGCAGATGGGGGCGCAGCAGTATCTGTGCTTTCTTCACCTGGTCACACAGCGGGGTCCGTCCTATTTCTTGTTGGAGATACTGATTTGGAAGGCGAAGGGCCGAAGAAACTTGCTCTCTTTACTGGAGACTGCATCTTCTCTGCTGGCTGTGGTGCCATGTTTGAACTCACCTCTGTTGATGAGGTGATGCAGACTTTCGATCTCTTCCATGGTGACAAGACGCGGACACATCCAGTGACAAAGCAGACCCTCTTGCCAGACGATGTACTGTTGTACGTGGGGCACGAGTACACAGAACGTCTACTGGATGAGTTATACAAAATGCACGTAAAAGGTCCGGGATCAAACGAAATAGGAACGGAGATGTCGACGTACCGTAAGGAGTTGCGCTTGGCAATGGGAGTCACACGTCAGCTACGTTTCACGCGTGCGAAAGATGACATTACCTCGTTGGTGCGTCTCGATGAGAAAAGTAGTGACCCGTGGAAACTTCCAGCATGCACGGTGCCGTCAACACTCACTATCGAGAGAAAAATCAACCCACTTCTGACAATTAAGCGTTCCGTCCTGGAGCAGCTTCGGGTGGATTCCTGCTCACCAAATAAATTGATGAGTACCATCTACGGGTCGGTTGAGCGCCACATTGTGGGGTAGAGGATGGGCGTTCATATGAAGGACTCTTGCTAGTGTATTGTAGCACGCTGATGCCACCTCCATGTCTTTTAAATCCTCTGGGTAAGTGTTTTTTTTTTTGGCACTGCTGATCTGTAGCAGTGTTACCCCCCTTATAATGCGTATTTTCTTTTAGTGCTCCTCACACGGAATACATGTGCTATTCTTTTCGTTTGGTTTTGTATAGTTTCGGCACAGGCAAGAGTACAATGTTCCAGGGTGTCGCGTACAACACATCCAGTGGTTCGGTGCTGGACAATACCAACCTGCACGCTCCTACTGCAGGGCTCGCGTCGGTACCGTCTATGGATGAGGTGGAGATTCTGCCCATTGGCAGTGGAGGTGAAGTCGGCCGTTCATGCGTGGTTGTGCGTTACAAGGGTCGCTCCGTGATGCTCGACTGCGGGAACCACCCGGCAAAGAGTGGTCTGGATTCTCTCCCGTTCTTTGACAGCATTCGCTGTGACGAGATTGATGTTGTGCTCATTACACATTTTCACCTCGATCACTGTGGGGCATTGCCGTACTTCTGCGAGCAGACAGCTTTCAAGGGCCGCGTATTCATGACGAGTGCGACCAAAGCTTTCTACAAGATGGTAATGAATGATTTTCTGCGTGTGGGTGCGAGTGCTAACGATATTGTGACAAATGAATGGCTGCAAAGCACCATTGAAAAGATCGAGACGGTCGAGTACCACGAAGAGGTGACAGTCAACGGCATCCGCTTCCAGCCGTTCAACGCTGGTCACGTCCTTGGTGCCGCACTCTTCATGGTAGACATCGCCGGCATGAAGACACTTTACACCGGCGACTTTTCCAGAGTCCCTGATCGTCACCTGTTGGGCGCCGAGGTACCTCCGTACTCGCCAGACATCCTCATTGTAGAGAGCACGAACGGTATTCGCGAGCTAGAATCACGCGAGGAACGTGAGTCCCTCTTCACCACGTGGGTGCATGATGTTGTGAAGGGTGGTGGGCGATGCCTGGTGCCAGTGTTCGCGCTGGGTCGCGCCCAAGAGCTCCTGCTCATTCTTGAAGAGTACTGGGAGGCGCACAAGGAGCTGCAGCACATCCCTATCTACTACGCCTCTTCTTTGGCGCAGCGATGCATGAAGCTCTACCAGACATTCGTCAGCGCAATGAACGACCGTGTGAAACAGCAGCACGCCAATCATCGCAATCCTTTTGTTTTCAAGTATATTCATTCACTTGTTGACACCCGTTCATTTGAGGATACAGGACCATGTATCGTCTTGGCATCGCCTGGAATGCTGCAATCGGGCATTTCTCTGGAATTGTTTGAGAGGTGGTGCGGTGATCGACGCAACGGTATTATCATTGCTGGCTATTGCGTTGACGGTACCATAGCCAAGGATGTCCTCACCAAACCGAAGGAAGTCACGAAGCCAGACGGAAAGGTGCTTCCCCTCCGCATGCGAACCATTCAGTCTGTCTCGTTCTCCGCACACTCCGACGGAAGACAGACGCGCGACTTTATTCAGTGTCTCCCAAAAACGAAACATGTTGTTCTTGTACATGGCAATGTTGGTGCCATGGGGCAGTTGAAGAACAAACTGCAGCAAGACTTTGCGGAACGTGGAGTGAAAGTGTATGCTACCAAGAATCAAGAGGCCATACGTATTCCGTTCAGCGTGCAGCGCACGGCGAAAGTTATGGGCACACTGGCAAGCACACCAGCGAACGATGGTGGCTTCGTCAGTGGTGTGTTGCTGGTTTCTGGACAACACACGTATAGCATCGTTCACCCCACTGACATCCCGCTCTTCACTGACCTCAATGTGGCGCAAATTCAACAGGCCATGGTGTTGCCCCTTCCACGCTATAAGTCAGCACTCGAGGTGTTGGAGGTCCTTCAGCGCTATTTCGCGCAGAGTCAGATGTTCGAGGATGTGGAACCGCAACAACAAGGTGCTGCGATTCCAGAAAACAGTGTGCAAGAGGGTGATCTCGAAACGAGTACTACCCGCATTGCTGTCTCCAACGACGTGTGTGTTGATGTGAAGCAGAGTGCAAGATCACAAACGACAGTGACAATAACGTGGACTGCCAGTCACCGCAACGACCTGCTTGCAGACGTCACATGCATTGCCTTGGCGAAACTTATGCACGAGGAGCACGCTGCAGAAAGTACTGATCCCCTTCCTGTCGACGTCACTGGAAATGACCGTCTCTTTCGGCTAAAGTGCTTCCATCACATGATGTCTCAGTTCTATCCTTCAGTCACAACCAACCTTGGGACGGGTGTGTGTACCGTGGAGCTTGAAGACGGGCAGGTGGCGACTATCACAGACTGTATTGAGATTGATCTCCAGGACAGCAAGAAGTCTGGTTACTCCTCGGCTGAAGTTGAGCGGCTCAAAACTATTCTAAAGCGCGTGTACCTAACGCTCTTTCCCATCCCTGTTGATCAAGGATGGTGTGACTGCGGCATGATTCACGGAGTGGAGCCGGTTCCAACGGAGGCCGTTTAACTTTGAAACAAGTGGATGGATGGATGAGCAGGTGCTTGCATGGTAATAGTTCGCCGACAATGTGGCATGCGTGCCAACGGCACTGAATATTTCTAAGTCTTGTAGCGAGCCTCGCTCAGCATGTTGTGAAACTCGCCGATATTGTGTGTTCCTGAACGTTTTTGATCTTTTTGGACGATTCATTTATTCTTGTCAAATTTCTGAAAGATTGGCCCTCATGATTTCTTTTTGGCTTCTCTATCTTTTCTCTCACGTTAGAAAAGACTTCTGCAGCGTGCTAGCGGCGTCTGATGTAATAGGCGGTCGCGGGTGCAATGTCGACGCCACTCTATCACAGGCGTCGAATTCGGGGAGAGCTCCCATCAAAGTATGTGAAGTCAAACTAACCGCTGGGCGGCGGCGTTCATCACAGTCGGGGCAATCGCGACGCGCTTGTGTGCGACGAAGCTCGTAGCAGACGTGTTTTGCGCCACCACCATAGGAGTCTGAATATTTCTTTCATAAGTTGAATCAAAGCGAAGGACACCGCCCCCCCCCC